ACATACATACATACATACATACATACATACATACATACATACATACAAACACACATACATACATACATACATATAAATACATACATACATACATATACATACATACATACATACAGTACATACAAGATCTGACCTCTGCAATATCACTCGTGGAGTTCCTCAAGGCTCTGTACTTGGACCAAAGTTATTTATTTTATATGTGAATGACTTAGTGAATGTATCAGGACTCCTCAAATGTGTCCTTTTTGCAGATGACACCACATTTTTTTGTTTGGGTAAAGATGTACGACGGATGTTGGAATTGATGAAGACAGAATTGATGACCCAAAATGGAATAAGCAGGTAAAGAAAATGGATGGATGGATGGATGAAGTAGCTTAGTGTGTTTTTTGTATTAGAATTAGAAAATTTAAGAGTTCTTCATTTTGTTCTGTCACTTGAAAATTATTATGCTTGAACTAATTGTTTGAAAAAAGGGGCAGATATAATAAGATTTTTTTCTTCCTTCTGCTGCCTTTCATTTTAAATCATTTGTATTTTTTATATTGTTATGAAATTGTTTTGTATTTTTTTAAATGAATAAACTTTATACTTATACATGCACACATACACACATACATAAATGCACACATACATACATACACACACATACATATCTACATACACACACACATACATACATACACACACACACACATACATACATACACACACACATACATATCTACATACATACACACACACACATACATACATCCTGTTTTCATGGGTTTCATGAGCTGGAAGACCAAATTATGTAAAAATAAACAAATAAATACTTGCAATTGTTTAAATTGTGGACCCTGAATCTGTATAATCACATGGGAACAACGCTTCAGAGCCTGCTTTGGTGCAGAAGAAGTCACGTGACACGTGACGTCAGAAACACAAACTGTTTCGTTGTCGTAATGAATCATTTGACTGGTTAGGGGTCCAATGAGCTGATCCCCTGGCACTGCCTCATCTCGATTCTGACAGGTGACTGGTTCAAACGGTTTTGAATGTGGTTGTGCTCACCACTATAAAACCATTATGAGAAGTGTGCAATGTGTTGAGAGAGTATGTGTGTTTTTGCTGTTGTTGAGGCTGTATCATTATAGAGCCAGCCAAGAAAAGTCGTTCTAACATGTAGAAACACTTCATTCTGCTCCCTCATGATAAGGTGGTTCTCGTATTTCCATATGTAAAAAAAACAAACAAAGTAATAGTAAAGTCCAGCAGTAAAGATCCACGTGTCAAATTCAAGGCCCAAGGGCCAAATATGGCTTTGATAGTGTTGAAGAAGTCATCAGGATGAAAAGCATGAAGCCATGGAGAAAAAAAACATAGCATTCTGTTGAGTTTGGTCTGGATGAAAAGCTGCATTCATCAAGAGACACCTGTGGCCTTTTATTGAAAATTACACACCTGTGTGTGTGTGACTCCACCCACAACAGGAAATCAACAAGAACACCCACAACAATAAAACCGTTGGTTACGTACTGTAACCCCAGATTCTATGAATATAGGCGTAGCCCTTTAAGGCTGTCGCTGATGGTTTATCCCGTTATGCGCAGCATAAGCACTGAAAAAAATTAGTCCACGCCCACCTGCTGTGTGGGCCCCACCCGGTCCGTATAAATTACGTTAAGAGCGGGAAATCGGCTCCCAAAATAGCTTTTTTCTTCAGCCATTTAGGAGCCAGTGAGGCCCGACGCTTAAAGGGCTACGCCTATATTCATAGAATCTGGGGTTACAGTACGTAACCAACGTTCTATGTCATATAGGCTTCGCCCTTTAAGGCTGTCGCTGATGGTTTAAGGGCGAAGCGGATGTGGTCCTCGCCTCACTGGGTCCATTCGAACACAGTAAGAAGCGGAAGCTTGCCCAAAAAACGTCTTGTCACTCAGCTCCCCGTGTGCATAAACTACGCATCGCGTAATTATGTGCCATGCACAGACGCATGTTGTGTAACTATGCGTTCTGACAAACATGAATACCCCGGAAAAACTTTCAACGGGAAGAGGAAGTTAAAAGAGGGGGGGGAGGGGGGCATGAACCAACTGGTTCATGGCTGAACAGTATAAACAGATTAATGTCCATGAATTGATCAATAATCAAATGAACTGATTGTTAACAATAATCATGAACTGATTAGTGACAATAGAACCAAAATCACAGACACGACTGTGACTGAAAACAACATCTCACACTGTAATGCATGCAGACAGAAGTGAGCTTAAACAGAGTTCCATGAGCACTAAGGACAGAATGTGTCATGGAACGAGCCGTTACATCACGTAGGTAAAAGCGAATAAATGAGCAGGGTGTTGACCATGCAGCCGCAGTGCAAATGTCCTGCATTGACATACCATTATGCAGAGCAGTCGAAGATGCGATACCCCTGGTGGAGTGTGCTTAGAGGTTGACAGGAGGCCCTAAATCTGATGCTCTGTAGGCTTCAGAAAAGGCCTCACACAGCCAGTGTGACAAGCGCTGGATGGATAACGGCGACCTGCAGAAGCATCTCTATAATGCACAAACAATTGTTGAATTTGAACGCATTGCAGCTGTGCGCGTTACGTAACACGTCAACGCCTGCACCGGGCAGAGAAGATGAACAGATGCTTCCCCTTCTGATCTGTGGGGGGGAAAAAACCCCTCCAACGACATCACTCTTGATTTAAAAGAGCTCGTGATGTTTTAGGCATAAAAGCTGGGTTGGTCTTAAATCAGCTGAGCTGCCCGTCAGCCTAATTCTAAGGCATGACGAAACAACAGAGAGGGCAGATAATTACTTACCCTCTTAGCGGGTGTTAAAACCAGCAGCAGGACTGTTTAAAGAGACAAGAATTTAAATGAAAACTGATCCAGAGGCTCAATTGAAGCTTTGATCAGGGCTCGCAGGACCAGCGTTAAATCCCACTGTGGAACAAGTGGGCATGAAACAGGCCTACATCTCTGTACACCTTTTAGAAACCGCTTCATCAGCGGGTGATTAAAAGCTGTTCTGTCTCCAAACCCTTTGTGGCAGGAAGAGATGGCTGCAACGTACGTTAAAGCGTACTGAAAGCCAACTCCCTATCCATCAGGTGTTGTAGAAAAACAACACGCTGCCTAAAAATCATGAAGTGGTCTCTAAACCTTCTCTGTACACCAGCGCTGAAAAGCCGTACCCTTGATGTGTACAGAACTGTGGTAGATGCAGCACGTGAATCTTGAATTGTGCACACTATCTCCTGAGGGAGACCCATCCTCTAAGTGGGAC